TGGTTGGGTGGGCGGCGTTTAGTGGCTGTCTCTTATACACATCTAGATGTGTATAAGAGACAGGATATGGAATCTTATACACTGTATAGTAGCTGTCTCTTATACACATCTAGATGTGTATAAGAGACAGTCAGTCATGTGATCACTTACAACAAAAAAAAGTCCAATTTACAATCACAATATTTTGTTGTGTTACTTACAAAAGTATTTCCATCCATAATGCTTTACATAACAATTTTTGGCTCTACAAATGCAGGTTACACAAACCTCAAATAACATTTATACAAAAATGGTTTGATCTGAACATTCGAAACAACAACGCTACACACAACGTTTGTGCACGTAGGTAGCAACACAACGATGCATTAACAAAATCCGAGCCCATTGTCTTTCAACAAGCAATAATTAGATTTATGACTGAAATAATAAATATCAGCTGAGGATAAACAGTTCAAAGTTCATTAAACCAACTTAAGCTGTCTAGACTATCCAACTGTTGATTGCCCATATATAGTCATGATGTGCCTATATATGGTCATGATGTGATGTCATCATGACCCTATTTAAGCATGTCACATGTTTTTGTAAAATAAAATTTGATAGCCTCCACAGGGCTTTGAGCACAAGGTATCATCTACAATAAAAATATGATAAATATTGTCACCCTGAAATGAGGGGGGGGGGTACACTCTTATGTAAGCAAGTGAACATTAATAACAATGTTTAAACTTGGTGGGTGTATTTTTTACTTGTGTTTTAAGAGGGTTGTTTCAGTCAAGGTAAATCAATGCTTTAACATTTTAAAATGTCTTTTTTTTTAAACGGAAACCGAAAAAAATGTGGTATAAATATTTTTAAAAAATTATAATGTATAATTATTATTATTACAAAGATATTTATTATTAAACTCCAGTATTGTTATCATCATTATAGTAAATGGCCATTACTATTATTACGATGAAATCAGTATCGGTCATAACAAAATGAATGATTTTGATAAAATAAAAATGATAACTATGAAAATAAACACAGAATGATAGTAATTATAATACAAATAATTTTAACAAAATCTCCCATCATCTAGTTACCAAGTCTTCACATATTCATTCCTATATTGGGGACATAATTCTTAAGGTTGCAAGTTTAAACAAATTGAAGATGAGAACCAAACAGAAAGAAGTCAGGTTAGGGTGATATGAACATTTTGAGATCTCATTTTTTTCTTTTTTGTTCTTTCTTTATAAAGAGCAAAACAAAAGGTACCTGGGTCTGACAAATTTCACCCATGCCATAACAATTCATTTTCTACTTTCAAAAAATCAAACCACAGTCAATTTCTGTGGTTTTCTTTTTATAGATTTTTCTAACGATAGACAATTTTAACATTATCTGTATGTCATATCACAGTATATAGAGACCATGAATACTAGTCCTTAACTGTTACCATTACAATTCCGACCGATGTGTTTAAGATAACATAACAGTACCTTTGATTTTAAAATAAGTGACTAGAATCTTAAATAAAATTTTTGCATTTGAAGAAGAGATTAAAGATGCTGTAAATCTGATTTTTTTTTTATCTAGACAACTAGTTGTCATCAATCAATCTATTAGTCAATGCTTGTGGCACAGGTAAAAAAGAAATTGAAAATAAGTATTTTTTTATATTCAATTTGGTCAATTTTAAAATGAATGGAAAAAATCATCTTACTAAATTCCAAAAACTTCTTCCATCTCACTTAAAAACAGAGAAAATGATAACTCAACAGTAATATGCAAATGAAGAGATATGACTGGCATTAAAATAAACACCTAATTTAGTGATTTTTATGTCTTTGGATTTAGTGACAGGACTGTACGGATACTCTTAAGTAAATTAGACAATACAGGCAATCTTATATACAGGAAATTATTTTGTTTTCAATCGGTAGTATCCACAACTTTACAATTGATATATGTCTACTTTGTCAAAATATAATTATTAATTTTTTTTTGGCCTTACGATAACACATTCAGATACTACACATCATAAGAATTACTTCGACTCCGGCAAAAAACATTTCCAGGGCTGCTGTAGATTTAGAACAAAAAAAAATCAACTTAGGAGAAGTGGAACAGCATCTTTAGGATCAGGGTTTATAAAAATTGTTATAAGTTAACTAGTTATATTTATGATTACAATGGAAATTTATATGAAATAAAAAAACATATAAAAGCAAATATAGCAAGCACTCATACCGTAGATTATAGATGACTTTCTCTAAAGACGGGCACACACACTGCGCCAATGGTCGTCAGCTGACGCAATTCCATAGAGAACGACAAAGTATGTGCAACTGATTTCTTTCAAATGGCTATCCTCCCAGTTTGCTATCAACTATCAGCAAATGGTGTTGTGTCGTCAAGCGCTTACAGACAGCGCATACTGATTCGTCAGCCTATGCTCGTACGACCGTTGTATGACGCAGTGTGCGGCAGGTAATTGGTGATTTTGATTTTTCTATGAACTTATTTATCCTTGCCCCCTCCCCCCCCCCCCCCAACCCAACAAAATAAAATCTGATTTCAGTATCAGATGCTTCGTAATTAGTGTATTCCATTTTGCTGGGCTTTATATTTGAATTTACATAAATTAATATTAAATCATTTAATTACAATTCATCATCAAATATTTTTGGTTTCATTTTCAGTTTTGATAATGACAACAATAACTTTGTACACATAATCTCTTGTGAAACAGGACTAAATGCCGAGTTAATCTACGATAAAGATTATTATAATTGTCTCAGACAAACTGCCAATGACAGTTTCAACAAAAAAATCTATTCATTAAAATTTATAGAATTTTTTCGGTTACCAATAATAATTATTAATATTCATTGTACAAAAGACGGATCCAAAATCAATTTAGTATAACAATATTTCTTTTTTGTTCTCTTTTTCATTCATGAGTTTTCTTTTATAAAATACAGAACATGGTAGATTTCAGATTGTGGTTGTAAACAGATCATAATTTATTGAAAACATTTTTTATTTTCAAAAACCCAATCAGATATGCCATTATTAGTATAAGCAGGAAAAATATTTATCTCTCTTGATATCTTACTCAGTATTAACTAGAAAATCATTTATCCATCATTCTAACAAAACTACCAATGTAGTTGTGTTTATGTCAAATTTGGCCATTTTGAGTTGTTATCGAAAACAACTTAATTACAAATTACCACAATTTACATCATGTCCTTGACTGGATACATATTACCCATATTGCATCAGCAGGAAGATGTCTTACCATCTCATGATCACAGAGTCACTTTAGTCAAGTCGAAACATTTTCAAATAAATAGATTACAATTTACATTGTCATATTGAAAACTATCACATATTGATTTCGATCAAACAACTCTTGTTTTTCCTCTCTCTCACACTGTTTTAGTCTCATATGTGTTCTTGAGTTGATGTTTTTTTCGTATGACCTTTACATAATTGGCTTCACATGTGTAAACATCTAATAAAATATACAGCACACAACATACCAGAAAACATTGGAAGCTTTTCAATAAATATAAGAGATAATTCAAGGTAGGATTAGGGATTAAACACAAGCTTCTGTTCCAAGCTAGTTAAAGATCACAGCAGAGATATGGAATCTTATACACTGTATAGTAGCTCTCACAGCCTAGGCCCATAGATCAGGAAAGATCACCCAGGCTTGGAAGAGACTCTGCATGCTGCTGAGAGTATCATCGCTTTCAGCTAACTTGCCTTCTTAGCTGGCTAATAATGCTGTATGAGATACCATCATCAACGTTCATTAAAAGTAGTTCTTGTTAAGAAAAGCAAGTTTACAATTTCCAGCGTCCATGATTTACAAACAACTTTCACGATTGATGGCTTCAATGGTAGGTGGGAACTCCAGCACCTTTTCAACATCACTTGTATGTATGTGTTTTTAGAATTGAATGTGGCTCTTAATAAGTTTGTCAAAAATGTTTTCAGTCCGTTTTCAATTTATAAAACACTCGACCATCTTAAAACATCCATTTTCATTCTCTGGATCACTTTCAAATAAAATCACATCTGGTCCCTGATCCATTATATACATTGCTTTGTTGTGGTCCTCCATGAGGCTCTGCAATATATATACGCAACTCATAAATAGCTTGGAATATACAATACATATCAACACATATTTGGCCAGCACCAAAAGTCCTGTCAGACATCAGTTTTTAAGAGGTTATTTTTTTTCACCAGCCCTGGAATGATCAAGCGAAGCCTCCTGTATTACTATGAGTCAAGAAACAGTAAGAGTTCATCACTTGTGTCAGTGCTGTTTGGAGCTTGCTCTTGACCTAGTAGGGATAACAAATCCGCATCTACCACTGTGTCTGGCAAAAGCTGCAAAATCAAAAAATTAATTGATTAATATTCAATACACTATAACAGATCTCTATAAATACCAATGAATGATAAGTTACTATTGACAACCTCCAATATTGCCTTGTAGAATTATGTTTACTAGATCCAGGCTAATGCAGAATTTCTAATACTGTCATTTAGACATTTAACATAGAAGTAACATGATCTGGTACAATCTGATGATCCATCTCTGCTAATTAATATAATTAAGTAAACCTATTCATTGTACATTCTTAACCTGTATGCCAAATGTGTTGGCATACAGACATGCATATTAATAATATCAACAAAGATTTTCTTACGTCTAATCCAGCTTCTTCCTCCCCTTCAATCACAGCTGCCGGGTCAAAGTTCAAATCTGTCGTGTGACTCATTCTGTTAGTATTTTGGTGGTTTTGAGGTGCTTGTGACGAGTTTGGTACACTGCCATTGTTATGCATCATGTTCCGACTGTTTGGATTCTGCGTCATGTGCGGTGGCATCTGATTAGGCTGAGGGGGCTCTGCATTCCCATGATGCATCATTGGGTGACTGTTGCTGTTACTGACCGCAGGCATGCCCGGCGTGGGTGGCTTCATAGAGTTCATAGGTCGTTGCTGTTGATGTTGTTGAGGATGTTGCTGATGTTGTGGATGTTGCCCCATCGGTGATAGGTGTGTGGATTGTCGAAGAGGTTGGGTGGTTGGGTGGGCGGCGTTTAGTGGTGAGTGAATCTGAGAATAACAAAATAAATTAAGTCAATTAATTTTTATTCATACCTAGGAGCATGTTCAGAATCAAACTACTATTCTCCCACAGCGGCCAATTATGCTTTACAAACTTAGTCTAGGGGGAGGGGAGCTGTTATGACAGGACTTGAACTCAGGATGCAATCATGTAATAATAACCAAGCACTCCACTGATTACTATCATTATTATATCTATAATACAACTGTACTAGGTGATCAATCTAGCCAGGATGATAAGAAGGTAAGCACTGTGTGTGCATTGAAAAGCGGAGACCCTTTCAGACATTTACTGCTTAGTTTGATTAAACCAACTTAACTAACTTGCTGTTAAAGCATGGATTCCATAAAATTGCTACACAGTTGCTATAGCTTTTTCACTGAAAATGTTACATTACATAGCTGTCCCCTGATACACCCATCCAATCAATTGCCAAAAAACTGTCAGTAATTTTATGGAAACCAGATTTTTTATTAAGAATTTAAAATGTACGAACAGTGAAACAATTTAAGTGTTTATTACTTAAAACTGTTTGCTAACCTGAGCATCAGGATTGAATCTCTTTTCAACGCTGACTAAATCATTGGCGGCGATGTTTGAATCTTCATAATGCTGCATCTGTGCTGTGCCAAAGTTTGCTCCTCGCTGTGCAGGGTTGAAGTTGTCAAAGTTGTTGAAGTTTGGTGTATTTGAGCTTGGAATTGTAGTCTGGCCTGAAAATATCAAAACTAAGAATTAACAGATCTAAAATATGTTTTGATCATTTTTTGTTGCATTTTTCTTATTATAAACATTTCTAAATCAATATTGCATAATGTAAAATAAAATACATTTTATTCTATATTCATCATTCACAGTTTTCAATGTTTAAGTTCAACAGTATCTCGAATTGGACTTTTTTACTGCAAACTTCTCTTAAATTTTATATAGCAATTAAAACCAGTGTTTATGTAGCAAAATCTACAAAATAACATCATTCAAGCTTTCTAAAATCCTACCTTGACAATATTCTGGTGGGGGAAGCGGTCCATATGGTGAGGGGACCATACCTTCATAGTTGTTCATGGTAGGCATCGTCATACTCCCCGGGGACATTGCTTTGAACCTCTTAGCTGACTGACAATTATCAATCACTGAAAGAAATAAACAAAATAAAGAACAATAGATAATAAATAATAACACAAATAACTATAATAATGATGTTAACTTTAATAGTAATGAAAATGATGAAAAACAATTTGTTTGGATGCAATTTCTTGGTTTTTGAATAATTTTTTGTTAAACTTCAGTTTCTTTTAATGCTTTGTTAGAAAAATGATTGCTAAGTAGTCCATCAGCTTAGAAAAAACTTACCTGGTTCTTCATCTTTCACATCTGGTTTTAGCGGTACCGGTTTCCAACTCGAGCTGGCATCAATCGTTACCTCTTCAAATTCTACTGACTGGACAGCGGTCAGAATTCCCCACATGAACTGGTCTACCTCAAGCCCTTCAAGAGATGCTGCTTTGCTGTAAAAGATAAACAACAATAAAGTTACATAAAATTATGCCTATTATCCTCAACAATAAAAAACACAAAATATCACATAACACCTAACAACAACAGAATACAGTAAACTATACAATAAAATTCATTCTAGTGTTTACATTTACAGACCACACATTGAAAAAAAAAAAAAATAAAATATGTCCCATTCAAGGAATAAAAAGTGTTTGTGTAAAATTTTAAAGGATAGGATTTTCTCCACCAGAGCAAAGAAATGGTGGTTCTTTATTAGAGAAGTGGTCCCTTAATTGATGGTTATATTTTAGAGTTTCCATCGTATATCTTTTACGAAAAAGTAAATAACTTACTTGCAAACAGGACATCTCCATGAGCCTCGTTCACAGTTTAACTGTAAGTAGGATTCTAGATCAAAACACTGTATGTGTTTACAGTCAGGCCCTCGTGCTGGCAGTGTTATACGCCTAAACGTGATTGGACATTTTAATGAGACCTTCACCGCTGTCTGCTCAACACCACTGTCCTCGAGACAGTTTGATGATGCTTCGTTGGAAAAGTTTCTCTTTACTGAAAAGAAATGATTATTGATAATAAATAGGAAAAGAATATTTCATAAATACTATTAGGATTTCATGAATTTATGACATAGAAGACAACAGAATGGTCTCTGATCATCTTTGACATACCCTTCTGTGTTACCCTTTTCAAAAACTATGTAGACTAAAATAAAATTTTATAAGGAAGCTTACTTTTGGTAATGCAGTGTTCAGCTGGCAGGAGCCGTTTCCGTAACAACCCTTGAAGAACTGACCGCACAGTCGGCCGATGGACGAGTTGTAAGACGAACAGATGTGACTATATGAGGGAAGAAAATTGGAAATAACGTAGCAATCATCAAGATAGTACAATACATGCTCCAATTATCGAAATGCACGCCATCGTGTCAGGATTCAATATTTCGACATTAATTATGTCATCATCAGGAATGAAAAATTATCCATATTTGCAAGCTTATATGCACAATTACCAAAAGTGTTTGACCAAACAAAACATGAATAAACCAAAGACCAATGCATTCCTACCCTACTGATCAAAGCAATCATCATTATCAACCACACCAAGCAATGTGATGCTCATTGTTATTCTGATAATTTTTTAAATGTCGAGCATATTTACGGTGGCATTAAACTAGTTAATTAATATTTATGTTATGGGAGGAGCTATGCAAATGAGATAGTCGTAAGCATTACTTACACAGCAGCAGGCAGTGACTGTGATCTGGATTGTATTTCTACCAGCCTGACACACTTCTTTTAAGTATAATGGTTTATGTGAGCTCTTGTTGTCTCCCCTCTCAATGCACAGGGGGTTGGCGTTCACACTGACTTGAACCGAGGCTGGCCAGTTGGTGCTCATCTGTCGATCCTCATGGTGGTAACACTTGAATTGTAACTCCAAATCATGCCTGAATAATCAGAAAGAATGCTAGCTGTTTAGGTAATATAAGAAGATTTAACATATAGTGGTTCAGACAGGTAAGTTTTTCATCTCTTATTTCCTATGTGCTAAATAAGAATTTGTACTTTAATTAACAATAAACAATTGATCAATTTAACAATTTAACATCCTAATAAGCTATCAGGATTACACTCTTTTTAAGTTACTCACAAAAATATGAATTAAAAGTAAATATATTTACTATCACTTGAGGATTACTGGACTAAAAGATTAGAGAGTGGATGTAATCTGTTTAATCCCTCGCCAGATATTTGACAGACTAAATTATTGGGATACATTTAGAAAGCAGAAAGTAATAATCTCTACATAATTTGCTGATTGAAAAGAAAGCAAAGTGGTAGGATGAAAAATGGTTTCATAAAATGGTTGAATAACTAAAGGATTTACCTGTACATCAGCGTCTGATGAACTGACGGACGGAGTTGGAAGACATGGTTACTGACCGCCAAATTGTGCTCCAATCGGAAAGGTGATAAGACAATGCCGTCTCGCACAGGAAATGTCATCCTAAGCTCATCGGATGCGAGTACTATTCAACGATAAATCAGAATCAATGATGATGAAAACTCATCTGGTTTTATTGATTTCTATATGAACTGGCTTTATAACCAAATGGTTTATTGTGTAATTTCTTTTTATTGAACCAATATACAATTGACATTAAGATGTAGCCCTTGGTTATTTAAAACAGCTCCCAATACATTATACAAAGATATAAAAAATTACTACTTTAAAGAACTGGTTGTAATATTATCATGATAATAATATATTAATTTCTAATGCACAAATTTCACGACAAATATGTTCAAATGTTTTGCTAATGCAGATTATTATAAAACAGTATTATTGAAAAAAAATTGTATTAGGATCTAATAACTTATAAATCATAAAAATGTAAGAAATGTGTTGATATCTTTATATATATAATTATTTATTTTTCTCAAAAATACACAAATGAGTTACAGGACTTAACAATTCATTTTTCTCAAAAATACACAAATGAGTAAACGTAAGAAGTCAGGAGAAAACTTTGTACATCGAACAAGCAAATGGGAGACTAAAGGTTTTTGTACTTACATGATGGTTTCATGTCTACTGGGCCATTTGAGTAGGCTTTCATGTCTGCTGGGCCGTTGGAGTAGGCCTTCATATCTGGTGGGCCATTCGGATACGGCTTGATATCCTGTGGGGTTGGTGATATGTAGGAAGGAATGTTTGGCCCTGGGGTAAGTGGCGGAGTTGGGTTACCAGGCATGCCACCGGGAGAGTGCTGGAAATTCACAGCGTGCGAATTCTGTAAGGTAAATAGTGTTTATATGTTGATACAAATGAGGTTATTTCCTGAAATATTGTAACTCTATGTCACACTCTACAATTTTGTAGTTACATGTCAAGCCTATGTGAGCTGTCATAGCCCATACACGTATATCTATTCTTACTGACTGTATGTATTTTGTATATTTGTATTTTTTTTGTATGTTGCCCTCTATAGTTTCAATGTATCATATTTTATGATTTGATAATCATGTAATTTTCTTATCCAGAGGGTTTGTATATTGTATTTTTATCTTGCATTTCATGGATGTAGCATTCAAGTATTATATGTCTATGTCTGTGGTTTTCATCATGTTGTTTAGGTAATGTTCTTACATTCAAACACTTTTTTAAATATTGTATTATATATTCTCTGTGGTTAATTGAATAACCTGTGCCAACTGGATATGTTTTTTGAATACAGTATACTTTCTTATTTTTCATGTTCTTTTATTTTGGAACATATCAATTTTATCTTTAGCAACTGATATACAAATAACCGATATAGAAATAAATGTGGCAAATTCACAACACAACCAATTAAAAATGAATCCCGTTCAGGATGTTCATATTTTAAACAAGCATTACCAATCAATTATGTCAAGCCGAAAGACCTTTAGGAATGTGTTTATAAAATTTCTTAACAGATCAATAAACACCCATTAGAAAATATAATGCTACAATACTTAATAAAAAACAAAAAGTACACTACAGCCCTTACTCCATTTGTTATCATAGATTTTTTATGAAAGAATAGAAAATCTAAAAATAGAGAAATGTAATAGTATACTGATGAATTCTAATGTATTTGAAGGACGTGAAATTAATATGACAGATGCAAAACTTGATACCAATGCTAAAAGTTAGTTCAGCTAAGCTGAAAACATTGCATATATACACTGGATGGCTGCCAGAAGAGAGCACAAAGCTTACAACCTTGTAAATAGTATATCCAAGGTGGCCGCCAGTAGTAATGAACTAATTTCATGTATTGTTTTATCTGTGTTGTGTCATCGATACATCATCACAAAATGATAAAATTCTTCGATGATTATTCTTCCTTTTTGTTTAACTTGCTTTGCCAGATTGTTTTTTAATAGATATTATATTCATAAACTTAGTAAACAACATTTGAATTTCATGTCAAACTTACCGGTAATTGGCCCATATTTTGCTGGTTGTATTGCATACCCATTGGGTGGTCTCTAAAAAACGGTCCGTTGCCTCCCATGTTGCCATAGTTACCAGTGATTGGCATTTTCTGCCGTACCATAAAGTTTGGTGAAGCCATCCGTTGTGGGTTCTGGAACGTGTTTGCCATCTTTTGGTATGAATTGGGAGTAACATTGTGCATGTTCTGATATGCTGGGTTGGACACAGCCTGACAAAAGAAACATAAAACAAATATTAGTTTTTTGTTTACATTTAAAAGCAAGTATTGTAGCTGTAGCTTGGTGGTTAGGGTGCTTTCCTTCTAATTAAATAGTTCTGGGTTCAAATCCTATCAGCATTTTCAAATAAAGAGCAATCACACCACTAGTTTTTTTTGTTATAAAGCATCCCAACTGCAGTAAACATACAATCTAATGTGATTTTAATAGCTCCCCACTCAGTCCGCCCCGCCCTAAATTTGTATGTACGAATATATACATATAGAGGGGGTGGTCTGAATTGCAGTGATCTGCAAAACACCTCATTTTCATTAGGATTTGATAATTTGGATGGGAAAGAAGAGGGTGACAGAATTTAAGGCCTGTTGAATAGTTAGTGTAAGCCTAAATACTTATATTTTAATACCTTCATCAAAATGGTCTTGAAGTTCAAAGCAATACATAAACACCATCCTACCAGAAAACACAGTAACCATACAGTCTTTTTACTAGATTGAATGTGTGTGATCTTTTACACTCAAGGTGCTTTAATGTTAACAAAATAACAAGCTCTGGAATACTAACCTGGGGGTTGAACCCTGGTTGATTGATGTGACCGGGGTGGCCTGGGTAAGGTCGCTTCATGTACTGTGGATACTGCCTTTGCATACCAGTATTATACATTTGCTGCTTGTTTCCAAAATTGTTTTGTTGCCCAGGGAATGGCTGGTTGAAACCTGGCCCTGGCCTCATCTGTAGAGAGAGAAAAAAAAAATTATCTATAATAGGAGGAAACAAATAATACTTGTTTTATCCATATAGAAAATGGAATTGAGTGAAAAGAAGTATATCTCAGAACAAAATTATATATTAAAAAAAAATATTTTCATATTTTACTATACATAATCATTATTTTTAAAGTCCCTAGTATGTTGAATTACAAATGTACTGATGATAGATATTGTTAAAATTACATTATACTTAATATCAGCAATATCTAATATCATCAATGAATTTTAGCTGAATACACACAGGTGGATGGCCAAGTAAATCACAAGGGTTAAAAAATTAAATTAAAATTACTGTAATGTAGTTACTCTATATTTTTATAAACCTTTTTTAGTACAAAGAGCCGAAATATATTGTATGCGAGTGTAATGTTACTATGAAAATAACAGTAATGAATGAAACTGAATTGAACTTACTGGTCCATAATCCATTCCTTGTTGCTGAGGTTGTTGCTGTTGCTGCTGTTGTTGTTCCTTCAGGACTGTTGCTGTTGCTGTGGCAGTTGCAGTCGCTGCAGCAGCGGCAACAGCCGCAGCTGCTGCAGCAGCTGCAGGCTGTGCCATGTCCCCTTGCATTCCAGGCTGATGGGTGTTGTGAGGGTTTGGTGGGAACCCATTGCTTGTCCCCCTGTAGGGTTGTGAATCCCGTCTGTATGGTCCTGGGCCGTTCATTGGGTATCCTTTCGCCTGTGCGATGTGATTCCCAGAATAAGGTTGCTGTTGCTGAAGAAACTGTTGGTTATTCATTCCATTAACTGGGTTATTACCTGTGGAATAAACAAACAAGTTATTCTTTATTGTTATGCCATCACAATTATACCCTTCATCAAGAGGAGCTTGAACTTAAAATCCATTCAAGTAAAAATGACTATGCTCCAATAAAATTCAAGACTCAAATATCACATACCGTACAATACATCTTTTTTCCTATTTTTAGCTCTTATTCAAATAAAGCACAGAATTTTGATTGATTAAGTAATTATGTTTTTTTCCATCAAAAAAACTCCCCAACAATCCACTACCTTGTACGAAGGAGTTGTTTGTGTTCGGTGCACTGTTGCTGGTCTGTGTAACACCCCACACTGTGGTCACTACACTCAAAGAGGGTTGCTGATGATGCGACTGTTGAGGTGGTCCCTGCCAAGAAAGTCCAGGATCAGGTCTGCAGAGACAAGGGATCAACTTGGATTAAAAGAATGTCTTAGAATTTGTCAATATTCAACTGCAAAAATATATGGCAACACTCACGTTTTTTTACGACCAACTCTATTGAGATATTGAAATGGAAAGTGTTATGTAAGTAGTTACAAAAAAGAAACGGAGTTCTGATTTCATGACTACATCAAAGCTAAGCAATCCATAGATAAAAAATTAATATCTTATTACCAGGTTTGTTTTTTTAATAATGTTGTCATCGTTATTGTTAAAGCCATAAAATATTTTTAATGCTAAGACACCCAACTATTGACAAGGACATTTCACAATTTGTATTTTTAATCGAACAATTGCAATTATTGTACGTGCTCCAGTACGACGCGGCATTTCCAATCATGTCAATAATATATGCGTAGTTGAAGACGGTAGAAACACACAGTTGCGTTGGGTCATAAACGTAGCATAAATGTGAATTAAATAGGTGCTGGTAATAATACTATTATACAGGTCTAAGGAACACTGAGTTTTAATCAGTGCTAAAAACTGTTATTTTTCTATGCAGCAATCTTCTTTTGAGGGCAAGGTCAGGTTGAAACAATTAAATCAATAATAATTAACACTGAACGATAAAAGCCTGCAAATGTTGGTAAATCCAACCTACGGGATAATAATCACACAAAGCTTTTAGAAGTCTCAAATCTTACAATGTACAGCAGTTCTCTCATTTTGGTTCATATCTATTCTGATTCATTCATTGTTGGTATTCTTTGTTACGTTCTTTGCTGAGTAGTAACTGTGTCAGAGTATCTGGATAGGTTTGCGCTTGATCGGCCACTAAGGTGTCTTTGTTCTCACTTGGCACAACTCCAAGTGGGTGGACCAGACAGAGCGATTGCACAGACGATGGATGACTGAACTTGTAGCAATGTTAAAAACCAGAACTTCTGACAAGTTTGTCAGATTGAAAGCAACAGAAACCAATTGGCTGATATTTTTATACTCTATTTTTTCCTGTTCGTTTTTTTCCTCTTTTAAACTTAAGAGGTTTATTGTTTGGTAAAAGCATCATAAACTTTTAGATAAGGCCATTTAGTTGACAGACTCAAAGCAGTATAAAGTCTAAGACATTCATAATGTTTAGAATTTTTTTTTCTTAACTTTTATAAATAAATTTGTCATATTATTATTCATTCAAATAAAGCCTGGTTTTCTTAAAATCGCTACACTGTCGCTGCAGTGTTTTCAGTGCAATAATTGTACATCGTAGCAGTCCACGACGCAATCGGGTCGCCCCGACCAATCACCATCATCTAAAGCTGTGAGCAATAGTGTGTAGCGATTGTATGGAAACAAAGCTTAAGACTGTACATTTCAAGGGACTATAATTACCATACATTATCATGGATTTTCTTGTTTATGTCAATTAAAATTAATTAAAAAGAATGACATACCCTTGTAACATATTTGGCTGCATGCCCTTCGACATCTGCGAGTGCATGTTAGCAGGGAGCAGGGAGGGAGTGTGCTTGCTAGGTTCGTTTGTGCGATTCTTCTGGTGCCGTAATAATAATAATCTTCCTAAGTCCTCACACCAAAGTGATAGCATAGCTACAAAAACAAATAACCAATAATAATAATAATTCATTGTGAATTAAACATGTTCAAGTAAAACTCTTGCTCTATAACTTGATCCTTATCAATGGAATTATGCTATTTAAATTTAATGATTTTTGTTATGTTTTTCCATTGATTGAATAAATGTATATTGAATTGAATTGAATTGTACTTAGGAATTTCAATCATAAACATTGTTTCATAACTTTTTTAAACAATTAGTACTGCATAAAATGAATCTAAGATTAAGAAAAAGCAATAGAGAAATATTGATTCATGAGAATTTGTATCAATTTATTCAGAATTTTTAACTACAGTATCAGTAAATCAGTATTTTTCATATCTAAGGGTTGGTATCTTCACCCTGATTAATCACTCATTACCACTATCATAAATACAGTACACTAAACAACAAAGATCTTATAAACACAAGATAGCGTTCTCCGCGATTTACACGTGCAAATTCTGTAATAAGGCAAGAATGGTGCCCTCTTGCTAAATTGGAAACTTTTGACCCTTGACCGCTCTGACCATACCGTACACCGCGCGACTTTACCTTTAGGGTATCAATCCTGTGAACAGCAGAACAGGAACCATCTCAGATCCATGGCAACAGATAGGACGCCCTCTTCCAAAACTGATTACATTTTCTCTTTGGTATAATAGCGCATGAATGGCGCCCTCTTGCTGAATAGGAAACTTTTGAACCTTGACTGACGCTTCTATTTGTTACGCGTAAATCGCAGAGAACGCTATCTTGTGTTTATAAGATCTTTGCTAAACAATCAAGCCAAGACGAGGGCAGCAGACTGATCATCCCTATCATACCGTATCAATTAAAAGAAGCGTGAATTCATGAAAGAACATTGAACCCTTTATCTACATGAATTAAATCGTTTAGTGATGCTGTCAGTACAAAAAAAATCTGCTTTGAAGGCTGCAAAGGATCATTAATTATTGCTTTTGTATAATGACCAGAATTAGTAATTTACTAGTTGGAAAAAAAGATTGAATATGTACTATCATCTTCAATCTAAACACTAATGGAAGTTGTAATCTTTACATACATTACAGTACATAAAAAAAGCTTATATTTTAATTTTCTTTAGAGGCCTTATAATTGTCAAACAAAAACAAAAAAAAACAAAAACAAAAACAAAAAAAAAAACAACCATCCAGTTTTATAATCCATAATAAAATATTATTTTTATATTCCAAAATCCATCAAATATAAAATGGTTTACTTCATCAAACTCATTTGTTAAATAATTATGTAATACATTTGTTTTAGTCTAAGGAAATCATTAAAGATTAGGAGAATCTATGTCGATGACACATTAAAAACTGCACAAGTACACATACAGACATCTCTATATCTCATCCACAGCTTAAAATATCTGGCTTACAGTGTGTAATTCAAATAACACGAATCGATTCGTGTTGTGGAAAAATAAAATAGCGTTGTACTGTACACTGATTGTATGCCATAGCAGAAGACACCTGAACTAGAGGCAAATTGAAGGTCATTCCTTACTGTGTGCGTACAGTATCTGACCACCTTGTACATTTGGCTCATGATAGTTAATTCATATTCATAAGGTTCTATTAATGGCTAATTAGCAACAACCTCTGGTTTCATCAATATTCAAAAAAAGGTGTTAAACCTCATGTTCATCACCATAAAATTTCTGCATTATATTTCTAGAGATATTGCTTTTAAAAAATTATTTTTAAGCAGATATATGCCTATTAACAAAGCAATTTATCAAAAGGAGCACATTTATTTAAATACAAGTTATAATGCCATTACTTAAATGTATAATAAAGTTGTATCTGTATTGCTCTTGTTATCTTTGTCAATACTTGGTTATAGTTTCCTTCAAATAAGAAACATCACAGATTTTTTTTTAAATATACATTAAATTCAGGTCACCTTTAATGCAATAATCTAATTTCCCATAATATAAAAAACATATAGAGAACCAAGGTGTTGTCAATCAGTGTACAATATAATAGGTTCATGGCTTACTTCCTCTGTTTTGTGTTGCATTGTTCAAGACACGCTGTCTATGTTCAATACATCAATTGCTTACTTTAGAATTAAGTTTATTAGATTTTAATTCAAAAATTAGAATATGATAGCATTTTTCTAGTCAATTAATTCATAATAATACCGTTTGTATATTACTCTTAAATTGGCTGGAAATCAATTTTCATAGCAAAATGTTTGTAAATGATTTTTTTTTAATGGTGAATTCAATATTTTGATGATTTTTCCAGATTTTATTATAACAGGGATATCAGTTTTAAGATCATCAAATCCTCAGCTTTTCAAAGTATAACTATATTATTTATATACAGTATTAACATATAGATTGTCAGTTACAGTTGGATTCAAACTTAAATCATTGCTCAGTTCCAGGAACATCACAGGAATCATTATTATTAACTTTCGAAGACCAGAGTAATAAATCAATATTTTTACACCATGAATTATATTATTAATTATTAATTAGATATGACACTTTACTGTACATAACAATTGATCAGTTAGTGAGCCTGCTATAAAATTAATATTAAAAAAAAAGATACATTTTGTAGCCATGATTTGTTAGTAAATAATTAGTTCACATATTTTAGAATGCCACATAAAAATACATTTTAATCAGCTGTAGAAAATGTATAAAAAAAAATTGGCATTGTTTTTTAATAAGTGACAAAAATATTGATATTCTTTCCTATTGTATGCAGTAGATAATTCATTTTTTTTTTTTAAATCAATCGAATAATGAAATCATTTCAAACTCATGAAATAAAAAATCTAATTTTGAAAAACATGAATAATCAAATAATAAATAAATAGTATAAAAAAATCTAAGTTTACATTGCAAATATTAGAGTCAGTGTTATATAGGGCATACTGCCAAGGTTTGTATGAGTCTCACTTATTAGCTCAGGTCAATGGATCAAACACTTACAGTATGGAATACTGTACATACTCAGGTCCCTGGAGAGCAGAACATAATGTTACAGAGCTAGCAATTTATACATTGGAATCCAAACCAGCCAGGTACCTACAGTTCTTGTACTTCTGGGTAGAAAGACTAACGATAAACTGCCAACCACATTTTCAGTGCCTTCTATTTGTTATTCATTTGAAAGCTAAAACAGGCCTCTGGATGGAAAAAAAATGTTTGTACCTCTGACCATGGAAATTGTCTCAATCAATGCCTCCAGCACCTAATGTTATCATACACTATATATCCCAGCTGGTTTTTTTTTCAAATTTCCCCCCCAAAATGCCTCTGGGACGTTCATGGTGCCTCCGAACACCTGGTTGTGCGGTCACGCCCTCATTCCAGCCTTCATTGATCTAATTTTCATTTATATTATTATTTTTTTTTTATATTTTAGGCATAAAGGCCAAGAATTGCCAAAAGCAAATATATCAATGATTTATAATACTGGACATTACAGTATAAAGTGGAAAACTGTTTCACAACACAAAACCAAACACAGGATGCTCTACATACTGTACACTGCATTTATCATCAGGCCATGGAAAAAATACATTAAGATCAGACTTAGGGTGTGTTTCTACAAAAAATCGTTTCTAGTGGCACAGGAAATTGTTCTTTGAAAATACCATTCTTAGAAACAATTTGCCTTTGCTAGTAGTAGATACACATGCACAGGAAGTTAAAATGATTTTAGTCACGTTGAAAAAAAAAAAAAAAATCTTTCCACTCTATTGGACTTGAACTCAGGAATTAGAAGAGACTGGGAGGGAGTATCCTTAACAACAAATTACAGCCAAACTTATCACCACAATTGATGTTTCCACATGCAAATTACCAAATTCATAATCACTTTTATTTCAGTTGAACTGTAGAGTGCATCTACCGAGATAAGGAACCGAGTAAAATGCCAAACAACACACGAAAGTGGCTATCACAAATGATAATACAGAAGCCACCACGTAAAATGTCACTCGATGCTTCCACACTAAATTACCAAATTCATAATCACACTTTTATTTCAGTTAAACTGTAAAGTATACCTACTGAGATAAGAACCCAAGTAAAAATGCTAAACAACAGACATAAGTGGCTATCACAAATGATACTGTAATAGAGAAGCCACCATGTAAAATGTCATTTCGCACACTACATGCAATATGTGTATAATTTGTATTGACCGGTCCATATTATGCTCTACCATTTATCCAGCTCAGTTACCTTTTAGGAAATCAATTAATGAAACTTTAGGGCGTCACACAGCAAACAATGGCTGCACATGGCACACTAGGCTAATCAAACAAACGGGCTATAATACATATGAAATGGGTCATAGCTTTTAGCCATGTACTAACAATCCAGGCATTAGCAAGATTACAGGTGTATCTCTGCTTCTGGTATAATGTATTTAAAGCTATATTAACATTACATATAGTATATTATATTATTACTACAAATTGGTGCTAGATGATAAATCTATAATACCATACGTATTGTCATTATTGTTATAGCTACATGACAAATAATATTATATAATATATGATAATAATATTTAAGAACATAAATTATTAGTAACAATATATAAATTCCGATGGTGTTAAGTATCATCTTACCAAGGAACGCAGACTTCCAAGTGGGGTATTCAAGAGGATAACCACCAAGTACCACGTACCAACCAAAGCAAAAACACTTTTTATGAAAGGAATGAATAACAGAGGAATACTGTAAATGGATTAATGATGGACAGAGAACTGCTAATAGCCATTACTTTATCAGATGATTTCAGATGATTGAACGAAGTATTTGGTTACGAACTACCTATAAATGAATGACAAACAACCAATACATACTGAATAGATAAAAGAATTCGCCAACTTTATCAATTGCTGCATACCTCCACTACCCACAGAAATACACCTTTGTGCTGGTAGAAATAAAATCCAGTGTTGAAAAAACCTACAAAGTATAATACTTATC